TATATATATATATATATATATATATATATATATATATATTAAAAAAGAAGGGTCCCTCTTGAGATACCATCACTCGTGTGGCCTTTGGCAACATGATTTTTAAAATTGGGTTAAAACACAACCAGAGTCTTAGGCTCCTGTCGTATTGGGGGTTTAGAAAATCTGTAGAGATTGTTCTCCTCCTTTGGTTTTCTAATTGCCAATTGGCTTTAGTATTGATTTTTAATTTAAGGGTAAACAAAGCTTTTTTTTTTAAAAAAAAAAAACATTCATCTTCTTGGAATTGCAAAGGTGGAGCCTAAATGAAAAATATAAAATAGTGCAGTGGGAGAGAGGAGAGGAGAGAATTGTGTTTCCATTGTGACACTTAAAAGATGGACCACTTAATTTTAAGCAAGTATTTTTTTTAATGTTTGTATTGTACATTTTCCTTTATTATACATCACATTTCCAGTTTTACAACAGCAGTGTACTGGCTATATCAAGTCCTTTTTAAAATATACATCGTATTATACACTGTGGTTATAACCATTATTCTCACAGTCAAACAGTATCGTCTCTTTTAAATACATAGTATTGTACGTCATAATTATAACTATGGTTTTCATATTTGTACCACGACACTCTATTACATTTATCACTCTACTAGCTGGATACCAATGCTCTGCTATGAAACTATGTGAATGGACTTGGTTTTGGGGAAGGAAAATAAGGGGGGGAAATTGTGCCTCTTCCTACCAGCATCCATCGGTATTCATCTGGCTAGCGTCCTGCCAGTGTGTGAGAGAGTTGAGAGCTGTTTGGAAACTGAAACAGTACTTGCTTTGTGAGCAAGAAGGAGACAGCAAGGAGCCTGGGCGTGGCTTAGCTCAACTGTTCTGTACTAAAGCTGCTTGGTGCTGTGAAACTGTAATTGCAATTGAAAGTCCTCTCTTCTGCTTGTGTTTTTGCATTTGAAGAGATTTCTTTTCAGGTGGGGAGGGGGAATAGAACTCCTTAGCATCAGAGCGTAATAATAATAATAATAATAATAATAATAATAATAATAATAATAATAATAATAATAATAATA